CCGACGTGGCTAACGAAAAGATGGCCCTAAATAATATTTAATATCCATAAAATATTCGATTGCGTTTACACGGAACCAATTTAACGGCCAGTCGGAAAATTTACGACGACACTTATTGTTATATATCTCTTTCTTATCGAATTCTCTTCTATCTCGAATCTTGTGCACTCTTCGTCTAGTTAGAGTTACATTTCGTTCAACTTTTCCATAGACAAAAATATATATATAGAATTACACGCTATCACTAGGAATTTTTTTATAGAAATAGCAAACGGGGTCACATTTTTTCGTAATAAAAACTTTTGCGTCAGAACGCATGAAACGCTAGAGAGTAACGAGAGTGGTCGATAAAAATATTTTTGAGATAAATACGATGAAATATTTTTCGAGTTTCCGTTGTCGAAGAATACCGAATTCCACAGAAAAAGAAGCAAAAAACGTGGCTTTCAAACTTATTAAGGACGTAACGATCAAGAGGGTGAAATCGATCGATTGCTCCACATCTGAACATTCTTTATATACTACCCCATCGTCGATTCCCTGTCCCAGAACGTATCTATAACTATATGTTACTTAAACTTTTAAGTACTACAGACTCTGTGAAAAAAATTCCAATTTCACAAAGATAAAAAGCAAGCAACTACGGAACTTTACTTTCGAACATCTACCCCCATGCATATTTTGTCACACGCACTAGTATCACTTAAACTTTTAACTACCATAAACGTCGAGAAAGGAGTATACTTATTATATAAAAAAAGAAAAGAAGTTAAAGAAGTGAATCGATCACTTCGATTTTCTATCAACGGACACATACGGCTGCGTTTAAACTTTCATCCACCATAGATAACATGAAGAAGGTAATATGAAGAATATCCTAATTCCAAGATGAGAAAGAAAATGAAAAAATGCGATCGTAAGATTGTATTATGAAATTCTAATTATTTACTTTATTAACCTATCTATATCCAATTCCCTAACACACGTCCTCCCTCGCACATATACATTAGTTAAACTTTTAACTAGCATAAACCTCATTAAAAGCTTCCCTACTCCACATACGAAAAGAAAGTCAAAGGTTAAAGAAGTCGGGCGATTCTTCTTACAAAATTGAAATTGAAATTCGAAGGAACTTCGCTTATAGTCGTATCACGAACTTAACGATGAAAATATTAAATATTATTTGTTCTAAAAATATTTGGAACTTTCACTCTCATAGTAACACCTGAGAATTCGATTAATTTACGAAACTGGTTCAAAGAATCTACCAGAATAAAGGAAATTACTATGGCTGGAAACTTATATTAATTTCAAATTGAGAACAAAATTAACAAGCGACTCGGTACAAGTTCGATCGATCAGTTAATTCCAAATGTTAGATCGGTGGCGTATTCGTCACGCACACAATATACAAAATTCATTCCCAATATCTCGAATGAAACCGGTAGCGACACCCACGCGAATCATCGTTCTAACGTTAACGAATCGACCCCGCACGAATGAAGAACCAGGAACGCAACGATGCACCGACGCCGACCGATCCTCTTCCGTGACCGGTAACGTCGAAAGATGGCTAGTCCGAGGATCGATAAAGTCCACAGCATCCACGCCCAGAAGCATCGCAAGATCCGCGATGACGTGATGTACGCTACGTTGCTTCTGTCGTCGCGAATCCCATGATCCCCTGGACGGAAGCCGCCCATTAGCGAGCCAATGATGATGCCAACTGACACTCGGGTCAGCTCTCCGTTATGGTACCGAGCAGAGGCCGGCACTGACTGCAGCTTTGGATTGTCGATCGGTCCCGTTCCAGTCGTCTAGACGCCTTATCCTTCGACCACGAGACGTTCCGACCATCGTCTTCTCGCTGAGAGATAGCCGATGAATTTGTAATCCAAAGGAAAACGATACGAACACCTTCCCTATTCGCTAGATGGTCCCGATTTTTCCGGGTGCCTTGATTGCGAGATCTCGCGAAAAGCTGCTTCCGGATAATTGGATCGCCGTGACTGTGGATTTAATCGCTTCGTTCGCTACGGATCCTCCTGTTCTTGCTCGTCTTTGTCGCCATTCAGACACCTCTGACCGGCTTTCGCAAATTGGCGATGCGATCGACGCGGATGATGCAGCAGCGATTAACGACTACGTGCGGGGAATACCGGATGCGGATGGAAAGATAGGAATTTGGCGGACTTGCGATTACCCGAGTCAGCGTTGCTTTCTCAGTAATCAGCGACTTGGTTACATTTCGTTAAACCTCGTGGCACGATCATTGCTCGCTCGAGAAGTGCGAAGAGAACCCCAAGAGAATTTTCGAGAATACCGATTCGGTGCCATCGATCGTGATTAATCGATGACGATTGAGCGATCGGGGAATGAAGTGACAGGAGAATGAAGGAAAAGTTTATCTCGAAAGTAACGGCTATATCGTTCGCGCGATTACATCGTAGATAGAGAAAAGTGTGTCGTTATACTCCCTCCTCCACTGTTTCGATTAATCAAGTGCGTGGCTAAGTTTCTTGATACGCAGTGACATTAATAAGCAATGACCAGTGATCACGCGAGTGCGCGTCATTGTTTCACTTCGCAGTTTCGTATCAAGTATCTCGCGAGTGACAAAGGAAACCACCGCGTGATCTGCATGGATCGGTATGTGGTCTTTTTATCCTTTCTTCCTTTTTTCTTCTTTAATTTTGTACGTAGGAATTAAACTGAAACGTCTCGATACTCTCCCATCCAAGAAAAGAGATTTCTATCGACGATTTTTCTTTACGTTTTCTTTCTTTTCTTCCCTCTTTCTTTACACTCTGCTTTTCTAAAAAGTGGCTTTTATCGAAAATATTCTTTCGTCACCGATTTCTACCATTTTTGTAATCAATGGTCCAAATATCGTAGAATCGTGACAAAGAATATTACCCGTAGATTATTAATCGTTCGATAATTTCTTTCACTTTCACTTCTCAGTTTTTATCTGTTATCCAAAATCCATATGTAGCAGTAAATCGTTTCCTATTCACCCTCGGTACCTTCACCCTAATTTCGGTCTGTTGAAGTTTCGCGTGGAAAAAATACAGCCGGGTAGTAAACCGAGCAGGGAATGAAAACAATAGGCCACTTGGGTGTCGGGAATTGAGCTTGTCTAGGGACAAACATTTTCGTGAACTTTCTTTTCGGTCTACCTCTACCAAATTACGCATCGAATCAAATCATAAAAAGTGAACAACCCTGGTAAAAACAAAAAGACCCAACAAAATACGCATTTCGCTTTAAACGTACTTTTTTCCGTTTCAAAGAGACCGTTTTACATGCCGATAAAACTTGTCTGGAGTACACTTCGTCGTGTCAAAATCTCCAAACTGTTGCACCGGCACCTCGACAGCCTCCACTCGTGCACATGTATATCGGGCACAAAAACATAACGAAGGACGCATAAAGTGGAAAAACCGTAATTCTCGAATCGAAAAAATTCAAATTGACGTTGCAGTGATAATAGTGACTATTTTAGAAAGAAAAACGAGAAAAAAGCGTGATGTACGTGGTGCAATGAAACGAAAGAAAGGAAAATTATAGGAAAACGAATAGGCGTAAATTTAACACCATAAATAGAACAATACGGATTTAATCAAGATCCGAAGTTGAAAAAATATTTCTGATAAAAGGCGAAAAGCACATTGGACATTTTTTTCGTTTCAAACACCTCTTTGTCGAGTCTGTCCACTCTTTTAGACATTACTCCGACATCTGGATGAAAAATTGCTCTCGCCACCAATACTATATGCTTTTTTCACGATGTTACACCGATCTTTTCGCAGTTCGTTGATCAACGACAGCTGGAACAATGGTGTTTATCGAAATGGCGTGAAATAACGTCGCAGCGAATATAAATTATTAACCGAAGTGGAATCGGACGTGTGACATTCGTAAATTTTTCGGAACAATACCGATCCGATATCGTCACGTCATATTGCGATCATAACGAGCCGTTAATCCGAACTTACAAAGCTCGACCGAGTTTTATCTTTAATTAAACTCTCTACAGGAGGGTGTGTGATTTCAAGATTTTCGAACGAACGCGGACAACAGGCAGATTATCATGAAACGTTCGTAAGTGGAAGTCATAAATTCGGACTCGTTCGTGACAATGGATGATCCCGATGTCGTATAATGTATCTGAACTTATAGTCATAACGACGAACATTGCTAAGCCAATTAACATAATCGGTTTACGACCTATAATGAAGATCGCTTCAATTTTTAAGAACGTTTATTTTTCTTGCAAAATTTTAAGCGATAATCTTTCATTGTTCTATCATCCTCGTTAATCCGCCGGGTATTTTATTTTTTCCTGTATACCAAATTATGCGAAACAATTGTTTTCTACGCTTTGCTTCCGAACAGATGAATTCATTGTTCACGATTAATTAACAGAATTTCCTGGAAAACTAATTACGGCCATGCGTAATTGTAAAGTGCGATGCGTTTTACGATCGCGCTTAATTGGAAAACCGAGGATATCCTGCCCGGATTTTGCTATATAAACAAATATTAAAGTCCTTCTTATATATAAATTCTGTAAATTAACGTTATAAAATTCCAAAGTTCATTAGATAGCATTCGTAATATATATTCCCGCGATAACGAAAGAATAAACGACCCGTTACATCGGTTTTTCTTAACATTCTGACCCAGTCTCTTTAAAACTCACGCAAATTTGACCGGATCGGTTTCTCTCTCGACCGAAGACGTCGTAGTACGTCGATTAAACGAAGTATTCGATCTTGGAGACGACGAGATTTTTTCCATGACATCCGTTGAATTTCTCAATCCCGAAGCACAGATTCGGGTGATCGTTCGAGTGGTGCGTTCTCGGCGATGCAAATACGCGATCGGCTTTTGTACAGACCGTAACCACTTTCATCACTCGTTTACAGACTCGGAGTATCGGTGCACCGCGGAAGAGCAAACCACTTTCATCACTCGTTTACAGACTCGACGTATAGGAGCACCGAGGAAGAGCGAACAATGGATATGAAAAGAGCAGAGGCTAAGTAGCAGGCTGCAGGTACAGGAACAGAGAGGGCGAAACAAGTGGAAAGCTGCCGAAGAGGGGTAGAGAGGGAATAGCAAACCGAACAAGGCAAGGCAAAAAGACAAACAGAGTCATTTCTGTCGAATAGCAAAGCGACAGAAACAGAGGGAACGGAAGCAAAAGATATCGAGAGCGATAAAGAGAGATAAGAGAAGGAAGTAGCAGGAGGAAAATATCGAATTTGGATAAAAGAAAACAACAGGCGGTGTAAGAAAAAGATGGAGAACGGGTTATGGACACTGGTTTTGACGGTGAGTTTGATAATGGGTCTGAGCTTTGCACAAACATCGGAGATATGCCCCTCGCACGAAGTGATATCGCCCTGTTCCTGCACCCTGAAGAAATCCGGCTTAGACATCGTCTGCGAGTACACGGACCTCTCTCACATCACCGCAGTCATGAGCTCGCTCAAAGGGAAAACGAACGCGGTGATCTTCTACTTGAGGCTCAGGCACAACAACCTGCCAAGATTACAGCCGTACGTGTTCCTTGGCCTCGACATCCGCCATTTAACCATCCACAATAGCAGCCTGGCGAAACTCGAGGAATCGTCCCTGAGTTCCATCGGTGAGTTCGTCGTTCAGTGACAGTTTCCAAAGTCTCTTTAAAGTCTCTTTAGTGCCTGCTAACTTCTTCGTTTGCCTTTAATCGCTCAAATGAAAAACGTTTTAATCCAACCGCAACTTTCGTCGTCGCCGCAGAATTTTCCTTCATTTGATTCTTCGACTCCTTCTGCCTGGCTTATTCAAAGTTTTTTAACCGTAGTCTCGGCGACGTCTCGTCTGAGTGCAGTTGGTTCGCAGACTCGATTACACGCTAGGTTTAAGTGTCAATTTTACTCTTCTTTCCTTTTCACCAACTTTCAGCTGCTGCTGTTTTGCTTTTCCAACCTTTTATTCGTCTTCTCGTTTTCAATAACCACATTTTATTCCTTCCTTATTTTCTATTCTTCGAACAGTTGTTTCATTCGTTCTTCTGTTTTGTCATATTTTTTGATTTCTTTCCTTTCATTTATACGTCTTCATACTGTTTCTCTTATTATTCTATTTGCTGACTGAAACTTCTCTTTGCACACCGGGAACATGATACTATAAGGTCTCGTTGCAAAGAACGTAAAGTAGGTATAATTGCTAGTTCCCCTCTCAAAAATCTATCCAGCGTGAGTGAAAAATGAGCAGAGTAAAGAAATTCATTGGAATCGTTTATCGCGGCATTTTACAGGAACTGGTCTGACACAACTGGATCTCTCGCAGAACACTTTGCTTTCGGTGCCGTCTATCGGTTTGAAGGATCTTCAACATTTACTCATCTTGAACCTGAATCGCAACAAGATCAAGGCCATCCATAATAAAGCTTTCGAGGGACTCGACACTCTTGAGATTCTTTCCTTGTACGAGAACGAGATCTCCATCGTGGAAGAGGACGCCTTCGAAGGGTTACACAAGTAAGTCATCTCTAACCCGAGTTTCACGGCTGGGAATTACCGATTAATTCTCAGAAATGTTAAACAACGGATCGATGGCCGTGAAAAATCGTAAGGTCGTGAAATTATATTGCAAATAAACATACCTTGAAATCGTAGTCGGAAACTCAGGAGGTTGAATCTGGGAGGAAACGAGTTGACGAAAGTGCCGACGCAAGCGCTGCAAACTCTGGACATGCTGAAGAAGTTGGAGATACAGGAGAATAGGATCACCGCCATTCAGGAAGGTGATTTCGAAGGTACGTCTACCTTCGTTTCCTAGCCCTATTCCCGGACTTCAGTCGAGTTTCCTTTCGCGCCTTATTGTTACCCAAAGTATCGTTAAAGTCTTTGACATCGTTCTATTCCTAGAAACAATTACGATCGTCTGTTTTCCGTCATACGTTCGAGATAATTTTCATCGTATATAAAGTCATCGACTTCTTTAGAAATCGGTTTAAAATCCCGTGTTTAAAGTTCCAAATTGCCGATTGCAGTTTCGTTTTAAATCGTTACGCGTCAGTTTCGCTAAGAAAGAATCGATTAGTATTATACCGACTTCCTAGTGAAATCGCTATAATCCACTCATGTTTGATTAACCCCATAACCTCACAGTGCATGCACGCGCGTACATCCTCGACCTTTTTCCATACGGGCAATAAGGTCATCGATTGAATTATTATGCGTATACTTATTCTTAGATACAAATTAGCTCACCTTAAAGTAAAAAAGAGCCATAATTTTCTAATTTCTTTTTCCGATGCTTAAAAAAAGGAAGAAGGAATTGATCTAAAGAAACTCAGTCACGACTATCGCGTTATTATAAGAGAAACACAGTTCGAGAAAGCGTTTAATTTCTTTTTTTTTTTGCTACTTTTTTCTATATCGATCTTGAGACATAAGATGATGCAGGAGAAACTCGTTCTATTGGCGTGTAAAGCTTTATAACGTCGTTAGCATAACCATCCGTGGTTACCTGTGACGCGCAGGGAAACGTCGACCCTCAGCGATGAAGCTTCTAAAAAATTCTCTTTCTCCTTGTTGACAGGTCTGAAAAGCTTGGATTCGTTAGTATTGGCTCACAATCAGCTTCGCGAAGTCCCGGCCCGTGTGTTCTCCCACTTGACGCAATTAAACTCTTTGGAGCTGGACGGAAATCAAATTACCCATGTGGATCCGGATGCGTTCATCGGTCTCGAGGGTAAGCGTAATCACGATTTCATGCAATTCCTTTGAGCCATCGACGATATGCCTGGTGAAACGGTATTATTTCTGTCGTGTTGTCGTGCACCTCGAATAATCAATTATCCGATGGATTTTCCATTAAACGTGTACGACGAAATCCGTCGATTCCGATTTTCGATTACGATGAATCGGCCATGACAAAGGCCATGACAACCGAAATTATTTTGGACAGTGTCCAGTGCGATTTTGTATCCGATTAATCGGTTATTCCAATCGAAAGCAATTATCCAAAACGAGGTTGAATCGTGGCTGGATTATCGCGACAACGTTGTTTTGTCGTACAGAGGAATTTGCAATGGTAATTTTGAAAGAATTTTCATTATTCTGCATTCAAAATATTTGTCTACCTATAATTGGCTAATGAACGCAAAGCAAACTGGGAAGCAGAGGAATTTCGTGAACATAAATTGAACCGTGGTTTAAGAACAATTATTCTGCATTCAAAATATTTGTCTACCTATAATTGGCTAATAAACGCAAAGCAAACTGGGAAGCAGAGGAATTTCGTGAACATAAATTGAACCGTGGTTTAAGAACTGATGTTCGCATAATCTCGATGAAAGGATTTTTATATCGAATCATCGCGAGATATATTTTCGAAGGACTCGTTGCTTTTTAAACTCGGCGATATATCAAAAAATGTCAGCAATTCTCTGCTGGAAAGTTGCTACTCGGTTCAAGTTCTCTGTGTTAACATAATAAAGTTCGTCCCTTTGAGGTATAAACAAGTTTTAAACTCAATCGAACCAATATTATACCTCGGGCTGAATCAAGAGCATTTGAAATTCACATCTTCTACGACGAATAATACGTCGTTGCTATAACGCAGTTGAGCAATTTAAAAAATGTCAATTATCAAATGTAATGAAAAGAGAAGAGCGAAATATTTCAATAAACTTTTCGATACATCGATCGATAATAATACCAGTTTAAGAGAGATATACTTCTCCGTAAATAAGGAAGCTGTTTTACGACCATTTTTATGCATCCCATGCTGTTAACGGTTAAATACTTACATATTTATGATTCTCCATGCTTGCATCTTTTTTTAATCTGAATTCTAAATTATTGCATGATAATTATTCAACGCATTTATCCCTTTCTTATTTGTTTTCATATCCTTCTTCTTTTTTCTTTCTTTCAGTAACACCTTTCTAATATCAATATTTCAATGCAATTATCAATAGTTTCGGAAGGCAAAGCTATCTGTAAAATTCTGCCTACATATCCCGATAAAATATGCAACTTTCGAAACAACAATATACCTCGAATAACGTAAAATTTGAAAAACTCGACGCGCCTCCATTGAACATTTCGCATTCTCGTTGATTAATTTCCGTCATTTAATAAACACGTGTTCGAAGCAGCGTATCGTCGAGAATGTTCATGCATACTTTATTTTAATTCCATTACAGAAAACCTGCAATATCTTCGACTGAGCGATAATAATTTACACGCGGTGCCGAGCGACGCGTTGCGACGTCTACATCGATTACGTCACCTCGATTTAAAGGCCAATAACATTACCGTGCTCTCGGAGGATGCTTTCACCGGATATGGCGACTCCATTACATTTCTGAACCTCCAGAAAAACTTGTAATTTTTGCTATTCCGTTTGCAAAATCATATTTTCCCGCCATCCGATTCATTTGTTTAATGCGAGGTGCGTTTCTTTTCTCTAGGATCAAAGTATTACCGCTATCGGTTTTCGAAAATCTGAATTCCTTGGAATCATTGATTCTGCAGAATAACAAGCTCACGCATATACCGGAGGAGGCGACTGAAAATATCGTGGATACCCTGCGACACATCGATATCACAGGTAAATGTCAAGGATTTGCTGAAACTTCCTTAAACTGGAGGAACACGTAGGAGCAAATTCTTGGAATTTCGCGTATATCTTTCGTGCAGCTTCATCGATAAAAGCACGAAACAGAATTTGAAACACGAATAGAAAGATACTGGAGCGTTTCTTGAACTTATTTTTCAAGAAAGTCGTGAAATTTGCTGATCTGAATTAAAACTAATTTAACCGATACGAAAATTCGCACCCCTTTCAACATCTTCGTGATTTATCTCTTTCACGTAACGCTCTGTTTTATTCATAGACAACCCTCTAATATGCGACTGTAAACTACGGTGGTATTCTGTTTGGCTGGGAAACCTGCGCAATCTGGACGAGAGGATGTTAACAAAACCTACAGTGTGTACTATGCCCAGCGAACACCGCGAATACAATGTGCAGAATATACCGCTAGAGAAAATGGGCTGCGTGGGAAAAAACGCTGGAAGGACCTCGTCGACTGGCAGCTTCCGCATTTACGTCGATACGATGTTACAATTATTAACCATCGCTATAGCTATGCTTTAACTGCAATATTCGGTCACGTGACGCTAGTACATCTCACATTCCTTTAACGCAATTTATTCCCCTGATTCGCGAATGCCAACAGCTTGCTAGCGACAGCATCTTCTTAGTTTTCGTCACTTGCGTTGCTTGCTCTATGAATTTATCAATCCTTGCTCGTTAAGCAATCGTGCCACGATCGCGGAGACGTGACACGATTGAACGAATAATATTCCTACTTTTTATAGAGTTTCCTACGACAACTGCACCTTCTGAAATTTAAGTGAATTTAGCGATAAACGGAAATAACAAGATCCAATTGATCGTTATTCGCAACATCGATCGTTGAGATTCGAGAAACTCGAAAATCTTCTCTGTCGTTTTTTTCTGTTGTACTCGTATTGAACTTCTTCACCGGGAAGAAAGGGAAAGTATATAGATCCTTCAAAAAGATACACGTATCGGGTGTTTTCAAACTCTGGTCGATCGGAGAGATCGATTAGGTTTATAACGGTCAGCAATCAACGGGTGTTTCAACATATCGTTAGTGTAACATTCGGTCGAGAGTCTAACTAATTGAAAAATGACACGGTTAAATATGACGCTCGCATCTATCTTCATCGTCGCGTCTGATTGATCGAATTTCGAGAGCGTAGTGTTGGATTATAAATAAACAGAAAACCACGATCGAAGAATATCCGAAATGAAATGAATCGCGACGTACGATAACAGGGTGAAAAAAGGCCCCTCGATATTCATAATTGTGCGAGCCTTTTTCATCGAACGTTACATATCAAGATCGTTGCCAAGTATTTTATGGATGTCTGTTAAAGCTCGCGTGAACGCGGAATGCGTAGTATAACTTCGTAGGAAATTCGAATGTCTGTAGTTTAGTTATCATTTTATGATCCACGGACATTCATCTGATACATATCAACGCGTTCCTCGAGTCGTTGGGACGAAGTGATCGGCATTTCTTAATGTTGCACTTCGTACGTCACAATCTTCCGTAGCGGTAAGATGAAAAATAAGTTGCTACTCTCCAGTTTCAAGTTCTGAAAATGTTCACGAGCCAGCTTAATCGATGATACCTACGATATACGATATCCCGAGAATCATTTGTTTATTTCATTTACATCGCTTACAAACCGCCTTGTTTCATCTCGCGAATTGCATAAAATTATATCCTTTCTCTGTTTTCCTATTTCAATGTTCATCCCGTTTACCGACGTACATTTGTGAAAGAATCGGGAATCTGTCACGGGGTCAAGAAACATTCGATCGAAACGAGTAATCGGGTAATCAATGTTCAGGCGGACTCTTTAGCCTGCAGTCTTTGTCGGTGATATCTTGAGATCGTTCAGATACTTAACTCCATTCACAAAGGACCGAGCCCGGTCGAAATGAAATAACGACTGCTGATGAAACGTAATATACTCAACAGGAAACTGACACTTGTCAATTCCGATAGAGCACCAACATGATCATTCAACTGGTTCGTCGCTTCTGTTTTGTGGGCTCTGCTCACACTCTAGGCTCTTATACGCGCATGATAAAATTACACCGTCTTTCAGCAATGCCGCGAGATGAAACGGTAAACTGGTGTACGTCGCAGTTACGCTTTTCCCTCACGAACGTTAATTTCAACTAGACGCTTTAAATTCCTCTCCTCGTATAGTAGCACACACGGATTGTGACGTGCGAATACATATGCTTGTATCTCGAGTTGCGAAATGTGTTCGAAGTTTATTCGAGACGCGCGGCGTCGAAGAAATCACCAATATTCGACGAACGCGAGAAATTTCATTCTTGTTATGCGAAACGACGAAAGTATAAAGACAAATCCTGCTCTTAATGTTACATTGCCAGATAAATTAAGTAATATGTATACATATCATATATGTAGATATCGTAGGACTCGGTTGATTAATCTATTGCTATTATTTGTTGATAAAACAGTAAAACATTATCGAACACTTTTCGTAGACTTTATAGTTATATCGCGTGAAATAATTATTAACATGGAAAGTAAATTGTGTTTTACAATTCGATAACTAGAGAAAATAATACGGTTAAGGCATTAATATTACGAGTAATACTACATATCGAAATTAGGTTAATGATAATGTTACATCGTGACACGAACCGTTATTCGAATAGAAATTCAAGGAGAATGTTGTAAATTTTTATTTCAACGCCTGCATTTTAATCTTACGATCGTGTACTTGTTTCATCTATATAGACAGCATAATTTGATTAGTTAACGATAAAGTATCGAATTAAATGAAATATTAAAACAGATAAATATTCTCCTTCGATTAATTGGAAAGGTTCGTGTCGATATCACACAACACACACATATCATTTATACGCCCAAAATTTTACCTGTAAAATAACGATTAATTAAGGCTTCACTAATATAATCTCTAAAGATCGTATACATATCGTGAACGTATGAGATTTAAGAGAATTTATTTGTTAATATATATATAATATATGTACGTTACATATATGCATATTATTACGATCATCAAAGATATATTATATACCTATATATTATATATTATATATATATATACATATACGCATTGGATGTTTTTTCTAAGAAGTTTCATCGATATGAAAATACAAAGTTATCGTTTACGTACTGTCGTTGCATGAGAATAATTCAATTGTAGATTATTTTGACAGCGATATTTGATATTTATTCGATATTCGTATCTATTTTCTGTTCTTTTTTCTTTTTTTTTTTTTTTCATTTTTCTCGGTAGTCAAAATTTAAATAAAAGAAATATTACGTTCGATTCAAACGATACGCCGAGTGGAATTCTCTGCAGGCCCTACACATAGCTTAGGATCCGCAGAAAGCATATCGAAAATAATTTTTATCGAAATACTATACTTTGACAATCATTATTCTGTTAAAGGACATTTACCTGGACGACAGAACGTGAATGATTATAAGTTGATAAAAAAAATATCAGTAGATACAGGAATAAAGGAATAGCAACGTTAACATAGATGCACTTATTCGGTGAGGCAGGAGTTTAGATCCCAAGATTAAAGACTGAATCGAAGGGAAAGGAGCAGAAAAGTGCGATGCAAATATTTCTGTTACTATACTCGTTCTAGCTTCCATCGAGCAATACGAAGCTGATGTTTCATTTTATGCGTTAATAATGTGACGATTAATCGTTAATAATATGTACGTGTTGCCTGAGCAGATTTAATTACATTTTCGTGTGTAATATCGACGATTGGTAGATTTTATCCTAATTATGCCATTTCTTTCATTGCAATATTGCCGGAAACGAAGCACACGGGACTCCTGACTCACGTAGTGAAACATATCCGTGTAGGTGATCGTAGAACAATGAAACGGGCTAGTCGCTTACGCGTATCGCGTCGGAGACACCCGAAGAACCATGTCGAGACATATCTCTGATAGCCGTAGATTTTAGTCTCGCCGGCTGCGTTGTTATTATTACTAATTATTATAAGCGGTATTTTTGTACAGTGTCTTACAGTGGTCGGGTCGTTACAGGCGCAGCCGACGAGCCGTTCACGGCGTAGTCATACTATACATAATATAAATA